CGCCATGCCTGCCGGTCCGCAGCTCCGCGCACGCGCTTTGTATGTTTAATTTTAACAAATAGGTCTGAAGAGGTTGTGTCAGTTTACACCCCCACCAGAAATGATACTGAGTGCTTTCTCATTTACTTACTGGCCATTAGAGTATTCTCACTTGCAAAATTCTGTTTAGGTGTTTTAATCATTAAATTTTGGGGCGTTTTTCTTATGGTCTTTAAAAATATATTCTGGTAATATATTTACAGATATATGTATTACAAATATATGCTCTCCATCTCTGACATGCCTTTTCACTATCTTGATAGTGCCTTTGATAAACAGATGCTTATATTTTGACCAACTTCAATTAATCAAATTTTCTTCTTATGGTTAGTACTTTTTTGTGTCCTACTTAGGGAATTGCTACCTACTCCAAGATCCTGAAGATATTTTCCTATTATTTTCTCACTGAAGATTTACTATTTAACCTTCTACAAATAAGACTATGAACCATTTCAAATTAATATATTTAATGGTGTGACATAGATTTCTTATACTTTTATTCTTTTTAATTTTTAAATAGTAAAATTTAAGAAGCATATAAAATGTCTGCAGAACATAAATGTACAGGTTACCTCTTATTGTCAAATGGACCATTGTATGGTCTCTCACCTACTTTTAAAGACAAAGAATATATACAGCATCCCACGCATTACCAACCCCAAGATCACAAAAATTTACTCCTATATTCTCTTTTGAGAATGGTATAATTTTAGATCTTCTACTTAGATCCCTGATCCATTTTGAGTTAATTTTTCTGTGTGGTGTGAGGTAGGGGTGCAAATTTATTCTTCCACATGTGTATATTCAGTTGTCTCAGCACCATTGTTGGAAATACTATTTTTTCTCCCACTGAAGTTTATTGGCATCCTCATGGAAAATAAATGACCATAAATCTGGAGTTTATTTCTGGACTCTCAATTCTATTCCATTGTTATAAATGTCCATCACTAATTAAGTATCACACTGTAGTGTTTACTGTAACTTAATAGTAAGCTTTGAAATTTGGATGTGTGAATTCTGTAACTATTTTTTTCAAGATTATTTTTTTTTTTATATTTTACTTTTTGGGTCCCTTATGAATGTTAGGATCAGCTTGTAAATTTCTGGTGTTGGGGGAAGCCAGATGGAATTTTTGTAAGGATTGTGTTGTATCTGTAGACAATTTGAGGAGTTCTGTACTATACAATATTAAGTGTTCTGATCAATGAACATGGGAGATTTAGAGATAGTTTTACTTCTTCCTTTCCAAACGGTTACTTTTTTTCTTCCATAATTTCCTTACAATATTGATAAGAAATGGTGAGAATGTACATCTTTGTCTTATTCCTGATATTGGAAAGCTTTCAGTCTTTCATCATTAAGTATGCTATTAGCCATAGGTTTTTTATAATATTTTAAATTGATTTGAGAGAGAGAGGAGAGGAAGGGGAAAGAGAGAGAGAGAGGTTTTTTGTTCCACATATTTATGCATACATTGATTGATGCTTATATGGATGCTCTTTTTCAGATTCTCATTTGTTCATACATTGTTTTCCTAATTTCCTTTTGTATTTTGCCTACTTTTTTTGTAGCTCATTGAACATACTTATGTCAGTTGATTTAACATCTTTAATATTTCCAATATCTAGGAATCTTTAGGGATTGTTTCTGCCCAATATTTTCCCCTGTGAATGGGCCAAACTTTCCTATTTCTTTGTAATATATATATTTAAGAACTGGACATTTTACAGTACTATGTTGTTGAAACTCTGGAGATCTAATCCTCCCACTCCTCAGGGACTGCCAAACCTTGCTCATTGAGGGATGTAGTCTTCTATTTGTGACTTTCTAAACTATTTTTTCAAAGTGTGTGTTTCTTGTTATACACACTGAAATTTCTCTTCTGTTATCTCTATGGTCATTTAAGGGAATTACCAATAAGGAAAAACTTATGCCATTTTACTAATTGTTTTCTATATGTCTTTTTTGTTCCTCAGTCTTCATTACTGGCTATTTTCTTTTGTGTTAGGTAGTGAATTTTTCAGTGTACCATTTTAATGCCCTTGTCATTTGTTTTACTATATTTTTGAATTATTATCTTAGTGGCTTCCCTGGTAATTGCAATTAATATCTTAATGTATAAAAATAAAACTAGTTCAGATTGATACCAAGTTATTTTCAATAATCTACAATAACTTTTCTCCTATATATTTTTGTCTCCCCATACTATTATTTTCTTTACAAATTATACCTTTATTATCTTGTGTGTTTATTGTTACAATTATTACAAATTTTGCTTTATACAGTTGTATTTTAAATCAGATAGAAAATAGGAGTCATAGATAAAAATATATTTATGCTGTTTTTAATTTTTCTAGATATAAAATTTTTCTTGATTGATAGTTTTTTTTTCTTTCAGCACTTTACATATATTATCCTACTAGCTTTGGCCTTTGTGGTCTCTAATAATAAATCAGCTGCGAAGCCCTAGTCCAGTGATGGCGAACCTATGACACGCGTGTAAGAGGTGACACGTGAACTCATTTTTTTGGGTTGATTTTTCTTTGTTAAATGGCATTTAAATATATAAAATAAATATCAAAAATATAAGTCTTTGTTTTACTATGGTTGCAAATATCAAAAAATTTCTATATGTGACACGGCACCAGAGTTAAGTTAGGGTTTTTCAAAATGCTGACACGCCGAGCTCAAAAGGTTCGCCATCACTGCCCTAGTCTGTTTTCCCCAGGTAAATTCAAGGAGAAAATAGTGACTGTGCCTAGGATGGAGAGTTTCTGGCTCTCTGAAGCCGCCGTTGTGGGGAGTAATGGAGACAAGGGACCCTTATGATGTCAGAGAGGTGAGGCATAGCCTGTTGTACTGTAAGCTGGCGATAGACTCCCTATCACTTGTGGTTTGCAGAGTTATTGTGGCTCAGAAGGTAGAATGTGAATTGATCATCCATTGAATATTTTCAGTCTCATTGGTTCTGTGGTTCTTAGAAACTTCCCCCTAAACTCTTATCTTTGGTTTCCAGTGTTGTATTTTTTTCCCCTCTACTTTCACATCTTCATGATTATTTTAACAGAGACTTGGAAGAGAGAAAATGAAGCATTATCTTTTAACAATGCTTCTAACTTCTTGAGTGGCATTTATACTACAGATAAGCAATGAAGTATGGAAAAGCATGGAGAAAATGACCATGATAAGAAACTAGAATATGGCTCCCCATGAAAAGCTGTCTCTCCTTTGTGGAGTGGCTGAGAGGAAGTTTGTCAGGAAGTGCTGGGTACTAATCTCTATAGGCATATAAATCTCTTAGAGTTGAGCTAAAATACATTTGGAAACTACGAAACAGCCATATAAAGCCAGAAGTCATTCCAATAATCAAGTTGTATTGTGAAGGTCTCATATATCACATCAGTTCTTACACTAAAGGTTTTTATCCTGACAAGTGGGTAGAAATGGATTCACATGGCCTTTAATATGTGCCATGTGGTGATATGTAGTTATAGTAAGGACACTTGGGAAATGGCTCAACACTCAGACACTCTCATAAAAATTCTGAAGTTTCCGAACTTGCAGATAGAAGGTAGGGATAGTCGTCTTGCCAAAATGACTCAACCAAAGAAATGTAACTTTTTTTTGTTTAACCTCTGGGAAAGGAGTTCAAAGCATATTTTATTCTAAAAGTCAAGCAAAGAAAATTGGCTCGCATGATATTTGATTTTATACTTCTCAGGCAAGATAAACTATCCTTTTGTGTGGGCTGATATTGACACTCTTCCTTGCCAACATTCTCTTTGAGTTTAATAGGATAGATTACCTTGGAGCTTCCTGGAGTCAAAACAACTAACCAGCAGAGATTGCTGGAGTCCTGAGCGGCAAGATCTTCCAGAAATCAGAGAAAACTCAAGAGCAAAACCACATGAGTTCAACTTGATTTCAACCCTCATATTTCCTGGAAATCATTTATGAAAGCCTAGGTTTGGCAATGAATCTATTAAATAATTGAGCTAAGGTCAAGATGAAGCAATGTGTGGGGAGGGGTGGTGGCATCATGGCTGAGAATGTGATTGACAAGCTACTTAGGTGCACACATTGTAAGAGGGCTTAAACAAGTCTGTGCCGACCATTCATAGGAATTGAGCAGAGAAGGGCTCTTAGGGTGGTATTCTAGTCAGTGGCTACAAAGGCAACAGTGGCAAAACCAGCAGCAGGGTTTCTTGCAATGCAGGCAACTGAGGCACCATATTCTATCTCCATGAAACCAGCCTGTTTACCCTCTCAAAGATGGCTTGGATTTCATTCCCACCTCCCAGCCTGCCACAGGCAGGAAACTCCATCATTTCCTCAGACTGATGCTGGGTCTATGTGACACCAAAGAACGAAGGCATGTGAGCAATTTACTTGAACACTGGGTACAGGTATGTCCAACATTTGAACAGTGATACTTGTCCAGGACAGGCTAACGCTCTCGCCCTTGCCACAAGGGGAGGAGGAAGAAACAAATGGATGAGAAAGTTTTGAAAACACAGGTTTTAATCCACTCATCTGCTGCTGGGCACTTAGGCTGTTTCCAAATCTTAGCTATTGTAAATTGTGCTGCTATGAACATATGGGTGCATATATCCTTTCTGATTGGTGTTTCTAGTTTCTTGGGATATTTTCCTAGAAGTGGGATCACTGGGTCAAATGGGAGTTCCATTTTAGTTTTTTGAGGAAACTCCATACTGTTCTCCACAGTGGCTGCACCAGTCTGCATTCTCACCAGCAGTGCATGAGGGTTCCTTTTTCTCCGCATCCTTGCCAGCACTTGTCATTGTTGATAATAGCCA